AATTGTTATGTATTTGTTCCTTTCCCATCCCTCCATTCTTCCATGAACTGTTATTACTGTTGCATATACTAATTTACCCTCCAGTTACCCTGTAGTTTGTGTGCTGCGTACCTGAACATCTCAAAAAGTCAAAGTCAAGGAGTTGCGGCTCATCAGATGTAAACATAATAAATCTTCTACCTGCTTTGACTGGGTAGGCCTGTGATACTGCGGCGGCGTCTATGAGTGTGCTAAGCTAGCTGTTACAGCATCATCAGAACGGCGCTGTTTCCACATTAAATCTTATGATAGCCAGTGGTAGTTACAGCCATGCTGTGCAGCTCTGTGTTCTGTCTGAAAACAAAGTTCGTTTTGGGAGTTTAGTGACAAACTTTTATTTTCTTTTCCTCCATATTTTTATGTTTGTCTGTTGCACTTTTTTTTCTCCATAATGTGGATCAGCGCTTTTTTTAATAGCATCTGCTTTTACACAGTTGTGTCATCACATAACATGGAATAGTCCATTATGACTGGGGGGTCGTGCAGCATTGAAATTACTAAAAATAATCCTAAAATAACGGCTGTTTTCAGGATGAATATATATTTCAAAATAGCTTATTCAAGATTATTCAACACCCAAAGTGTATCTAATGTGTATTGTCATGGGGCCTGATGGTCTAAATGGAGTCTAAATGAGACAGTATAGCCAAACAAGTCTAACATGGCTACCAGTAAATTAAATCAGTGAAAGTTACTGGTTAGTCAAGCTAACTGGAAATGCTATACTGATACATAAAGACGTATGACGTGGTCTGACAACCTCCTGTGTGATCTGACGCAATGCCGCTAACTTTTAAATGACTTTACAAGGTGACTTGCAGCAGCACAGACACCATATTTTAGCATGTTTTCCTCTCCTGACTGAGAAACGCTACTGTTTTCAGTTTTAACAACAAAAAATATACAGTGCAGCTTTAAGTTCTGAATTACAGAGACCTTCAGGAAATGTTCACAGAACTGACTCCTCCTTTCCTCACATCCTTCTTTAGTTCGGTCACTGTTCTGAAATGGTTTTGGGGAGATTAACCACTGAGAATGTATTAAATTAGAACCACTGCTAGATGCAGATAATAACTAGAACAGAGCTAATACTGTTAGCTGGTCTCCTGTCTTCCTTTGAAGTTATTTTAAATGTTCTCTCTGTCCCACCATATAGATTCATTTAAAGTTGTGCTTTGTTAGTAGACAATTCAGCAGGTTTTTTCCTGGAAATTGGAACACGTCCATGTCCAGCCCTTCACACTAATTCTTTAGAAGTCAGTCCTTAAACTGACTAGAAAAACAACAGAAAAATCAGATTAAAGAACTTCAGAATAACATATGTTAAGTGTCGCCTACTATAGACTCAAAGCTGTAAATATCTCTGATGTAAAGGGGGTCTCAGGGTGGGCTTTTGTGGAGGCACTGCTCCAGTGAAATGTTCCCCTCTTCAGCAATGATAATCTGTACAAGAAACAATTTGTATTACTTTTAGCAATAACACAGGACATTCTACAAACACTGGAACTCAAGGGCAAAGATAACAGTTCTTTCTGGGGCTGTTTTTGACATACAGAGCTAAAGATACTCTGATCTGCTGATGGAAAAAAAAAACAACATCAAACCTGAAGGAATAATTTCGTCTCTGTTCAAGTTCACATTGAAAATAAGCTCATAATGTTCATCAAACAGAATAATCAGCTCTATTTTCAAAGTAATGTCTACTTCAGAGTTTTGGAGAATAATTTAGTGTGGATCTATTTAAACACTCCCAGACTGACTGTGTCCGTTACCCTGTGATACTGATACACACTGGTTTAAACTGTACAAGGATGAAGCCTCGTCTTACATTTAGACTAACAGCTCTTTCGTTTTTTTCTACCGTTCTCTTTCAGAATATTTGTGCCGTGAGCTCAAACTTAAGCTTACAGCGCTGGGTGGTTACTGAGCAACAACTGCAGAGCCTTTGCAAGAGAGCTAACTTTAGCCTAGCTAGCTAACTGGCTAGCTAACGCTAATGCTAGTGATTTTCCTCCTAGACTGACTCAGAGATTCAGCTGAATTAGCTGAATGTGTGCAGAGCTCAGTTCAAACTGACTGGTTAAGATATTCGTTACTCCTCTCCTGTTAAACGCAGGTTCAGTTACTCTGGTCAGTCTTCGCTCCACTTGCAGTGACGTTATTCTCTTTGGGCGAAAAGTCCTCGGCTTCCAGAGCTGAAATCTCTGATGTTGGCAGCTACACAACACCAAAATCTCAGAAAATAATGTAGACCAGATATTCTGAAGAGATTTTTGTATAAATGCGATTAATAAACTTTTCAAACAGTCAACATTAACATTAACACTGTGAGGACTGAGTATTAAACACCTTTTAACAGTTGTGTTTGGATTTAAACAGTTAAATCAAACACTTGGAGAAAGCTGCAGTGCTGAGCCTCCAGGGGGCGGAGTCAGACTGCTCAGCCCCTCCTCTGCCGTGT